TATACAGTCGCTAGAGTAGTAGTAATTTTATCACAATACATACTAAAATCACTGCAATGATGCTTTCAAAGTGTCAAATCATCCATGTTTCATAATGTGATCAATATGTAATCAGTTTAGTATTCTGCGTGGAAATTCACGAGAAATTGTGGTGGAAGGAGATAAATCAGCGCTGAAAATGTGCATTGGCTGGAAAAGTGTATCAATAATTCGGTAAATTGCTTTTCTATTGCAATAAAAAATGCAAGAATAAGTGAAGTGGAGAGACTAAATTGACGCACGAGGGTGGAAAATGTTCTGAGTGGAGTTTTCTTGTCGCCAACCCGTTCATGTCGCGGCGAAAGTGTGAGAGGGATGTTTAAAATAAAAGAAATGTGAAATCGATAGGAAAGTCGTAAATAAATTACCATACACCACCTTATAAATTGCCGTTGAAATCCTGAAGGAATTTCCCTCAGAAGCGAATTCTCACAAGCATTCCCACCATTTCGCTCAAGTGGCTCTGAGCTTTTTGCATTTTTACATATTATATACTATATATAAGATGATTTTAATGTAAGATTTTCATCGGATTTTCCACCGATTTTCATGTGAGCTTCATGGCAGTTTTTTTGTTACAATCCCCCCTTTCTTTTCAACTCCCAGCCGAAGGAAGAAAAGGAATATTTTTTATCACGTCATTTATCAATATTTTTTTCACACATACATTCACACAGAGTATCTCCACTGCTCTGCAGATCGATTTTCCCTTGGGTTTCTTTCCCTCTCAGTCGCCAACGGTGGAAATTGTTGAAAAAAAAAAGAAAGAGAGAAGAAACGAATAAAATTCTAATTGCGGGATTTATTTCTTGTGTGTGGCATCATATAAAAGCGGCACTTTTATCAGATTAATCGGCGAATTTTTCCGCGTCTCCTTGGCGCTGGGGCGCCTCTGCTTGCCACATGATTGGCAATTTATAGGGGAAAATATTGCAATTATTGCTCCAAGATGGTGTTAAATTTGACTCTCATAGGATTTTGCAATCCAATTTTCCCATCTGTGAGTTTTTCCTCACTTTTATCACCATCCATAAGCAATAACACAATATTGCCTGATAATACCATTTTAGAACTTATTTTATACACCTCACCCGAGATGGCTGCAGTACAAGGAGGAAAAAGCTTCAATATACAGAAGTTGCAAGGAGACGATTTTCCTCATATCGCAGAATCCTGAGAAAATGTTGCGGCAACTTTTATCAAATCGCAAATGTAGATTACTAAGAATTGAGTGCATCTTCGAGGTGGCCATAAGTGCGCATTGACCACAAAGTTTGCTTCTTGACATCCTTCGACACTTACAGAATTCACATCTTGATAGGAGTTCATTGGGGAGAGCAAACTTTCAAAAATGGGATATATATCATGGAGTGAAATAATTATATTCATATGCTTATTTGTATACATTGAGGATTTATTTAAGGATCTCAATTGCATATTCAATTGGGAAATATGTTAATGAAAAGTTTGTATATATGTGTACATAGTTTTATGAATTATGGATGTGAATTCAATTAATTTCAGTAGTATTCTTGTCGCAGGCGAAGGCTGATGGGCGGGGGAGTGTGTGGCATTTGGCAATAAATAAATAATGAAAATTATGTGTTTACATGAACGTGACATTAAATCAGTTTTCACTAAAGTAATTTCCATCAAGCACACTTGTGAGCCCAATGAATATACATGTGTCAATAGTGAGGAGAGGCGCATGAAAATGAAATTTCGGACATTGCTCCAAGGGGTTCAATATGTAAATCACAACTCTGTGAAAGTACATTCAATAAATAATAAATTCAATTTATTCACCCAATTTTGTATCCATATTTTCACAATTATTGCGTCCTCAATTGTGTGCGGCGAATTCAATGCATGGACTTTGCTAGCATTTTCATTAAATGCCCATTCATTTCATCAGTTTATATATATATATATATATATATATATATATATATATATATATATATATATTATTTGCACCTCCCGCAAAAAAATCACGTGAAAAATAATACGGTGGCCAAAAAGGATAGTGAGATTCAGGTCATTAAATCTAATGGAAAGAGGAGAGAGGCAGCAAGTGACACAGTTCCCAGAATATTTTAATGATCACAGCTCGGGTAAGTAATTTCTCTGATGTATCTGCCGCACTACTTGCCACCCGCCCGGCCACCCCCCAAAACGCACAAAGGCGAGGGCTGGTGAGGCAGCATCTTGCATAATTGACAGCGTAATTTGCAGATGTACAATTTCTCTTCCAATACTCTTCAAAGTGATTCTCATCTGAACATTTTCCTCACTATTTCCCGCACCGACCCAATCGGGTGAGGCCCACAAAACCCACCCCACTGGGGATCCCCCATTGAAATACTCAATCCTTGTAAGCCGTAGTTCGTGTGTATTGAAACACCCTCACATATGTAAGATTTAATTGACAGAACGCTACAATGGAGATGCTCCCCAAGACGGATAACAAGTTCAACTACATGATATATCTTTCGATACATACATTTATTAATCAGACAGGGTGTAATATGTAAAGTATTAAGCTAAACAGGCATATTGTTACCCATTGAGCGAATCACCCTGAATTGTGTCTGTGGGAATGGATTCTGTGCTCTCTCTCTCTCTCGAATGCCACACAGACAATAAATTAGACGTTTATGTTGCCGAAGCTGAATCATCATCATACCCACTCGATAACATGGCATAAAGTGAAGCATGCGAAGGGAATGCCAGAGCACTTCATCTTTTGCGTATGTGATTTTGGCTGTAATTGATTTCTAATGGGAGAGACAATTAATAATACAATCAAAAGATAATGTTCCATTCTTACGGGGTGTTTCATCCTAATTGATCCCATTATCCATGCGGGCCTTGGGGGTGGGCTTAAAACTTCCCAATTTGTTGTCTGTTGTGGTCTATTGAACGGATATTAGGACGCTTTTTTGCCCGAGAACTTTTCAAGGGAGCAACTCGAGGGACCCGAAGCTCATCTAATGAGCCAATAAACTTGATGAGTTGAGAGGATCTCTTTAGCACTTAAAGTAAGGTGTCCTGCGTTCATTAAAACTTCACATATATTCCCACTTTTCAGTCTTCGCATTATCTATTTTACCCCATTTCAGCCATATCCGAATTTATTCAGGTGAAAAGCGGACAATTGTGTCACATTCAATTTAATTAATGAAGCACAACATTGTATGAGATGCACCTAGACACATGTAGTTCGTAGTTGATTAACAAAGTAATTTTTCACGACGTGTTGCCACTAAAATCAGATTTGCTTAAATTCTGCAAAAGGCATGCATTTTCCTAAAGAATGCCGCAAATCCTAATGGAATTCCCAATGGCAAATGGTGAGATATTATTGAATGAGCAAACTTAATAATTGACACGATTAATGCGATTAATTAAATGACTCTGTCTGATGTGGGAATGGATGTTGTGCCCAAGGAATGGACCTGGGAGGCATGACGGCGCCCGATTCCTGGTATTTGATTGAGTGACTCCGAATTCTCCCCAGGGGCACGTAATCTATGGCTTTTCCACACTGAATTATGGAGAGTGCGAAGGAATTCTTGGGATTCCCGAGGTAAATATTCTCCGTAATAATTCTCTATGGCACTGTGTTGATCTATCGCATGCCGGCCAATTGGCAGTGGTTGTCCATCTGGGGATAATCCTGGCGATTTGTCATATCTCTGGGGGATTATCGGTTATATCGCCAGAAAAGTGTCCACCTTGTCAGTTGGAAAACTGAAAGACTGGCACACAGAATTTGTCCGCCCCTCGAATCTGCCATTCCTCCTCCACTCATTAATTTACCAAAGTCAGAAATACACGCTGATACAGAATGCCAGAGCGCGTCAACTTGTGATTGTGATATTTAAATAATAAAGAGGTGCGTAATTGGGTGCCGGAGCCAAATTAGAGAATCTCCCATACAATTTTCCCATTTCGTGTGAATATTTTCCGGGCGAATGCGAGAAAAGGGGCTGGATTTTGGGCATGAAGGACGCATTTAGAGGAGAAATTGGGCATTATCGATGATTGTCACGTGCCCACAGATATTCCTCGCAGCCTTTCTCAATGCTCTCAATATTAAAAATCCTCATATTGGCACAAGTGTCGTCGCAGGAACTATTGAGCGGATGTTGCGAGGCAAATTCACCCGTTTTCAATACAGTCATTCGATGCTAATGCCTTTCCTCGGATTTTTATATCCTCCCGTCTGCTGTCTTCGCCGAAGAGGAAGTGATCTGACAATCTTGGAAGTGGTTCAAGTGAATTTTTTATATCACCACGGAAGGAATTTGAGATTGTCTGAATTGCCAGACAAGTTCCTCTACACACACAATGCTGTCCACGGAGTTGCAGCAAAATGCCAGCAATAAATTTACATCACCATGCAAAATTCTTTTGAATTGTCGGTATATAGTGCTAGAATACGAATTATGAATTGAGCTGACGAAATTGATGTGAGCAGAGGTTTAAGCTGTGGATTACTATGACGACTGCCAGAACTCCAGTGGCTGCCAAAATATTATTTTCAAACTTCTTTCTCGAGAAACCGATAAATAAATATCTATTCTAGCGCTATGTTAAGTAATATATTGGAAAAGTGTGGTAATTCATCAATTTAAGAATTTCGAAGGTATCACATAATGAAATAGATGAATTTTGCGTGCAACAAGTATTATTCACATTCTTTTTTAAAAGAAAAAACATTAATATTTTGTATTAGTTCTACACTTTGAATTCTTCACTCTTCTTTTATATCAAATAAAGCAGTAAAAACATGTCTTTAAAAGTACATCAAGAAACGGTCAAGGTGAGAATGCATGAGTTTGTTTTGTAGAGAAAATGCGGAAAACGGAAAATTGATATTCACAGTCGTTCGTAAAATTGGCGCCAAACGCCTAAAAGGCCCAAAATCCGCTCATGATTCGGAGCCAACTTCACATCACAAAGTGGAGATTTCTGCCGAGGAAAATCGGACGTGGCGTTCAAAGATGGAAAATACCGTGAAAAAGAGCAGTGAAAACCCCCCGAATCCGGAAGTTGTGCCTGCTGAGGGCCCCAAAACGTTTTCCTTAGAAGGTGAGTTGTTGGTTTTTGCCAAAACTCCGTGGCAAAGGCAGAAAGTTGTCCTAACCTTAAAGTGCGGGCATTTTTCTACTTTCTCCTGGTTTTCCACAGTTTTGAGGATCATCAAGGATGCCCAGCAGCAGCACGGTCTCCGGCACGGTGACTACCAGCGATACCGAGGCTACTGCTCGCGGCGAGTGCGCCGATTGCGGAAAGTCCTGAAGCTGCCGCAGTGTGACAAGAGACACTACAAGAAGAAGGATGTCGCCGTGGTGCATCTGACGGGAGCACGGGCTGATGTGCGGTACCTCCACATTCCCCTGATGATGGCCGAGCGCGCCTGGGCGTACGCTATGCAGTTGCGACAGGAGGCCAACACGGAGCCGCGGAAGAAGTTCCATCTGGTTGGCAAGCTCCGGAAGGCGTGTTTGTACGCGCTGCAATTGCAGGATCTGTTGACTTCTGAGTGCTGTGACGCGAGGACAAGGTGGGAAATTGAGGCGTACAACGCCTGGCTCCACGGAACTCTGCACTTTGAATTGTCGCTGTGGAAGAACGCCATGGAGAACCTCAAGAGAGCCCAGCTGGTGTACCAGAATCTGGGAGAAGCGCTCCCGGAAGAAGAGCAGGCACTCTACAAGGCGAAGGAGGACGAATTGACGCCAAGTATTCGATATTGTGCGTATAATATCGGCGAAGGGGCTTCCATGGATGATTTGCTGGAGCTCCGGGCGCAAGGCTTCCTCGAGAACTTGGAATCGCTGGCCACACAGGTGAAGACTCAGAGCACGGAGGCACTGCAGACGACAGAGTGGCGCGGAAGAAAGATGGGAGTGCGCCCAGAGAAGGCGAGACTCTTCCTACTGAGCGTGCAGGACTTGGAGAAGAGCATTGAGAAGGCGAAGAGCATCCAGGCGAAGATTGAGATCCTCGAGACGGTGATTATGGACTGCAAGGACGCTATCACAGCTGTCAAGGAGGAGATTAAGCAGGATCCTAAGCTGCGAGCAAGCTCAGCTGGTGGTCAGATCGTCGGAATTCACTTCCTGCTCTCCTACTTGATGTACATTCGCCTGATGAGGACTCTGGAGCGGAATATGCTGCTGGTGAAGCAGGCGAAGATGAGCCTGGAGGACGGATCGACCTCTGAAGGGGGCGGAAAGAAAGTGCGGCCACAGGATATGACCAGATTGTATGAAATCATCTTGCAGAATGTGACGGAATTGCAGCAACTGACTGGAATGGAGGATGACGGGGAGTATCAGGAGGAGATTCGCGCTCTCAGCACTACTTTCCGTGCCTTCCGCTGCTACTACATCGCTCTGACACTCGTGGCGATGAAGAGGTGGAAGGAGGCTGTGGCTCTCTACGAAAGATCCACGAATTATGCCCGGGATGCACTGAAGAGCAGCCCAAAAGCCTTCAATCTGGCCGAAGAATTGCGCCAACTCATCAAAACCATCGAAGGCTGCAAGTTCTCAGCTCATGCCTACAGTGTTCTCGAGGATGACGCTTCTGATGACGCTAGTGCGATCTTCGGGCGCGCCCAGAAGTCCTCCAAGCCACTGTACGAGAGACTCTCTGAGTACAAGGAAGACGCCACGTTGCACTCTAAGAACCCGAACGTGTTCAAGATCACACCCGACATGGAGGCCATTCCGTGCAAGCCGCTCTTCTTCGACTTGGCGCTCAATTTCATCGAATTTCCCTCGCTGGAGGACAAGGTGGAGTCGCCCGGAGGGAAGAAACAAGCTGCCGGGATATCAGGATTCGTCAAGGGGTTCCTCGGATGGGGCGGAGCCAACAAGTAGGTCAGGTCTTTCTCTTTATTTACAAACATTCTCAATACTGTATTGTTTTTGCTTGTTTTGGTTGGTGCTGATGGCGCCTCGGGGCCAGAATCACTGGCCAGGAGGCACGTCGGTCGGCAGAGAATTGAATAATCACAGGTTGATTTGATGTTGATTTGTTTGTTTCTAAGGGGCGTAGCCAAGATGTGCCCAAGTTTCTCCTACAGTTTTCACAAAGAAAAAATCGTATGGTTTACTGCGATTCAACTTTAACGTTCTGGAAATGGGTTTATTATTTAAGCAATTCCATCGTTTTCCCCGAAAATAGACTATTAAAGTGGTGAAAAATGAATAAGTTTTTTTTTATGATTTTCTCAGGAGTGAGAAAAATAATCCTTTGATAAAATGAGAAGGACATTCAAATGGTGTCTGAAGAATTCTGATTTCAATCTAAAAAATCGCCAATCTTTAGTCTCCACTCCTTACAAGCTTGTGTTCTTTTGATACTTCGTCTCATTGCGCACTTAAACCATACGATACCATACTGGTCTGCTCTTGGCTACTCCCATGAGTGTTTATCATAAGTCCTGGAGGAGACCTTGCTCGTAGAACTCCAGGACCATCTCCCGGATGCGCCTGTGGTACTCTGGGGTGAGCATTTGGGTCATTTGCGTATTGCCAAAATCGGTCATTGTGACGGCATTGAGATCGGGGATGCGATTGGGGTGAAACGTGATGGCCGGCATGAGCCACATGGCGTTTCCCAGGCCATAAAGCATCTTCCGCTGCAGTTCACGCTTGATTCTGGCCAGGGAGAATTGCGTCTGCAGGCGATTGAGTGTGTCCTGGTCGTCCGGGGGTGGGAGATAGTGGCGCAGAGATGCGTTTAGGGTTGTATGATAGTCGGTGAGTAATTGATCGAGATGTGCGTGACGGAAATCCCTCACTGTGCTGGTGTAGATAAAGTGGAGGATATCAATCACGGGTGAGGTGCATCGCATTGTCTGCAAATCCAGCAGCTTCACCTGCTCCACGTGTGATCTGATGCGTCTGAACATGAGATTATTGATCCATATGTCTCCGTGACAGATCACCAGCCATGAGTCCTCGTTGTCCAGGACGTGCCTCGACATAATGTCATACATGCTGCCCTGCAGCTGCTCAATGCGCCCAATCGCCCCCGTCAGGTCACCGTTCGCATTTGTCACCCGCAGGCTCGCGAGTGTGTCGCGCAGAGAGCACTCGAGGGTGTTGGAGATGACCTCCCTTGCCTCCGGGCAGTACACAATCTCCGATATGCTCCTCTTCATGCGCTCGAACGTCTCCGGCTGCGTGGCCTTCATCGCCAGCGAGATGGCGTGCAGATTGCCCAGCTCCTGAAAAGATAGTCAAAGACAAGTCCTTCCTTTCCCCACCGAGCGCACATCCTATAACATCTCACTTGCATCACGAGGGAGCAATGCGGATAGTCCAGTCCCTTCAATCGGTCCTCCATCTCGAAGCCGCTCTCCCGCAAGTCCTCCAGGATGATCACCTCCTTCTGGCTGTCGTCGAAGCCGGCGAACAGGCATTCGGGGTAGGGTAAGCGGTCGCCCGAGAAGTCCCGGAGGTGCGGAAGCACTTGAGTGTAAGCGGCAATTTCATTGGCAAATGCTTCGTCGCAGCGGAAGAGTTGACGTCGCGATATGCTCGATATTTGGCGCTTCACGATGAGCTTTCGCTGGTAATCTGCAAAGGAAAAGCAGCATTTTCACACTTATATGCGGAATTCCCACGAGAAAAGTGGTGGCAAACATTGTTCAAGTGGCATATTTGCAAATCAATTAGCAAAGGTCTTGTGTCAATGTATAAATGCGTAAAGAGGAAAAGCATAGAAATCACTGATAAGCTTTATCGATTTATTTATAGTGCATAATTGGGTTTCTGGAGTGAATTCCATAGTATTTCATGAAGCTATCATTTAAATAATTACTATCAATCACAAAGTTTGTTTGATTCAGACTAAATGAACAGTCTTGCGACTCCTTGTCGTGGCATTTCTCAAGTGTAATGGATTTTTCTAAGCCTCTTGAATATGTATTCTTTTCATCTTAGAGGAATGATACGCTTTTATTGCCATATCTAATTGTTTTAAATTGATTTGATTTGGTGTGATGACCTCTTAACACTCTCGGAAAAGCACTTCCACGATTTACATGCACTGCATCGACTTTGTAATGAACTTATTGAAAAGTCCTTTTTTTTTTCACTACACGATTTTTCCCTTCGAACACGCAAACGGTGCCCTTCGATGAAGCCTTCATTAAAACCCACGACTTGCAACCCTTTCGCGCACATTTTTTTTCCTTCAATTCTCGCGAGCTTTGGCGCTGATGTGCACTTTATGGAGTGAGTGAATGAGTTAATTTCTAATTATAATATTATGAATTGAGACACACAAGTCATCTCGAGTGTCGCCTTGAAGGCAAGGTCGTGAATTGTGACGCTTCCTGAATATCTTATTCGTTCAGTGTATGAAAATTGCATTTTTCATCTGGTTGGGTGAAATGGGGGGGCGTTGGAAGGAATTCAGAGCTCCTTTCGTCTTGACGCTGCAGTTCAATTTGTACCTGAATCACGACACTTTCCTTGGACAGCAGCGCGCTTAATTAATGACATGTAATTATCGCCCTGTCGACTCCCGGCTTCACATTCAACACTATCAATTTTAATTGTTAAGTCGTTTTCACATGTTTGCAAAACTTTTTCAATAAACACCTCGTTCTCCTTCTCACTGTCGTCTTCCGACTCGAAATCCATTTTCCGCGAAGCTTCCCTTTCGTGGCGCTGAAGCTCTCTCCTGTAGCGCGCGATTTTTCGTTGATAACGAATCAGGAGGGAAAATGCGTGTCACTTGGACACCTACAAATCGCACCATCAACTGAGGAATATAGTAAACATTTTCAAGTCATTCGGCTGCATTTTATGCATTAGATGATGCACACAACTTGTACACTGTTATTGCCTTCTGGCGGAAAATGTACGCCACAACGCGAAGCAGTAGTGCGCTTAGAGGGGAAAAGGTTCGAAAATAAACATTATTGGCAGTGTAACGTGACCTTCAGTGGACGCACCAATATACTATGTCTATTGAATGCGATATTTAGTTGCACTTGGCATTATTTTTACTAATATTCTGTCGCCTCTGCTCGATTATGACGTCGTCGCTGCGCACTGAGCCAGCCTCAAAAATCTATCGACTCATCCGTCGAGATGCGCTGCTGGGGCGCTCGCGGGGGCCCGGCCAGGGGCTCCGGACTCTATTGATTCCCCGCGATCGCCATGACCTTCACCTAGTTATCCCAGAGTCACCCTCTTGATTGAGTGCGGGGTTTTATTGGATGAATTGGAGGGTCTTTTTGCTCAACCGCAATCAATGTCGCTCAAGAGGGGCTCGTCATCGGGGAAATGTGTGTTTCGTCTGTGTTGTGAAGAAGACTGTTGACTTAGCATTCCTTCTCCTTCTGCAATTTACACTCGAGTGAAGACAGAAGATGCTGAAAACATAAATCACGATTAGCAAATTTCTATCTGTTTGATTGCATTCAGTGCCCAATCAAATGCATTTGGGCTCTAATTACTCTCGAATGACAAAGATTACGGAGTGAAGAGCAATCCGGCGAGAGACTCTCTTGAGCAAACTGCTCTGCCCCTTGGCGACTGGCCCTGAAAAGTGCACTGGCGACGTCACTCTTGGGTTGCAATTGAGATTCTTTTTGAACAGCTGGCCGAACTACTCCACTAACATTGAACTTTAGTGAAAATACTGGGACCAGGCGGCTCCACGGCACGGCGGGTGTGTTGGTGGTAATGTTGGGGAATTTGCAGCGGTGCGAGAATGCGAAGATTAATATGGGTTTTACGTCTAACATTGGCCTAGATGATGGGAAATTTATGGACAGTTTGAATGAAATGCATTGCAAGAATGTGAGATTGTCGCGTGTGAAATTGAGTGGTTTTCCACGGCACTGTGAGGTGGAAAAGTAACGTTGCGTGCGTTTGATTTTTCCCATGGCAGTGCCATCGCGTAGCCGAAGAGCGAAATTGTGCGGTGAGACAGTCAAATGCTCGGCAATCGTGCAGTGAATGTGTGTAAAGGCGAGTTCTCGAGTGATAAAATTTTAACACACGGAGAAAAATGAACACAGCTCCAGTGTCATGTATACCAGTGTCGAACAAGATGTCTAAGGTGAAGAAAATCCTCTCTGAGGCTCGGGAGATCCAGAATCGGGAGATTGATCTGGTGGATCTCGGCATTTCCACGCTTGAAGAGTGCCCGAGTCTCCGTAAGTTGCCAAGCTGGGGAATTTATTCCATTTTTGGAAGTTGTTTCTCAACCAGAGCATCTGAAAACACGCCCATTCGGCTGACAGATGGAGAGAAAATTGGGATTTTCGCTAACATGAGCCTTGTTTTTCGCAGTGAGCATGACTTACATCACGAGATTGACGCTGAGCCACAATAAAATCCGCGAATTGCCGCCAGGATTGGCCAATTTGACCAACTTGGAGATCATCAATCTCTCCAACAACAACATCAAGGAGTTGCCGCTCTCGCTGTCATCGATGCCTAAGCTCAGGATCCTCAATGTGTCCATCAATCGCCTGGACACGCTGCCGAGAGGCTTTGGCGCCTTCCCAGTCCTGGAAGTGCTGGACTTGTCCTACAACAACCTCAACGAGAACACTCTTCCGGGCAACTTCTTCATGATGGAGACTCTGAGAGCCCTTTATCTCGGCGACAATGACTTTGAGTATCTGCCAAAGGAAGTTGGCAACCTGAAGAACCTCCAAATCCTTGGACTGCGCGACAATGATCTCCTGGAATTGCCACGAGAGATCGGAGAGTTGACTCGCTTGCGAGAACTTCACATCCAGAGCAACCGATTGACTCTCTTGCCGCCGGAGATTGCAAAACTGGATTTGCTGGGCAACAAATCCGTGCTGAAGATGGAGGAAAATCCCTGGGTTCCCCACATAAACGAGCAATATCTGCTTGGCATCAGTCATGTGCTGGACTACATTAAGTCAGAGGCGTACAGAATGTAAGAATTGTTGTATTTCTCGTGGAAAACCACTCATAATTTCTCTGATTTCCCGCCCACAGACTCTACAATCGCCACATGGCGGCCGGAAGGAGTGGACTCACCGTTCCACCGAAGGCGGACAAGAGCAAGAAGGCCTCTCGTGCAAGATCCTAATCGGCATAAACCCAGGAAAACCGCCCAGAACTCATCGTATTAACGAAATAATCCCGAATTAGTGGCTTTAAAAGAGTGCCTAATATGAAAAAAGTGACACGAATACACCGAAATGTGGTCAAAATCGCTTCTGTAAATGTATTAATTTATAATTTTTTACTAATGTTGATAGATTTTTAATGATTTTCGTGTACTAAAAATAAAAATCAGTGCTCTTCTGTGCGTAGTTTGTACAATCGCGTCTGGCGGTAATCATAATTTGCCAAATGATGGGTTCGAATCGTTTGAATGATGAGATGATTGCAGAGTTGCAGAGAGCCTGTTATTTTGTAGGTTGTGGAAAAGTTTCTCGGAAAAGTCCGATGACTCTTGAATATTGCTTGAACATTGAAGATTTAATTTGATAAAGTGTTGAAGCAGGATTACGTTTTATAGATGAGAAATTGCGAAAGGACGGAAAGTCTATCTGGAAACAAATAGTATCTATGGAGAGAAGAAAGCACTCAATATGTTACAGATAACACTTTCTTTATCAACACAAAGACGAGTTCAGATGTTTTTGCAATTCAGAAAAATTGAGAACCAACAAAACATGCTTGAAATTAAGTTATTCAGCGATGTTTCTTTGCTTTAACAAATGACTCGTGGTTCTGGAATTGAGCAATGATTTCACTAATGGATGAACTGTCCATATAATAGCTCTATTCTGCCCCACTATTATTTTTTTGTACAATTTTACACATAGGGAAATCTGAATTGTTCTATTTCACAATTGCGAACAATGCCTGCGCGATGAACCATGCAGCAAAGGGTTAAACATCCTGCAATTAATGGATGTTCTGCGAATTTCTCTACTGTAATTGAGATGTTCTCGTCTCAGTCTAGGTGAGAGTGACTAGAAAAAATGCCACAAACGACAACTCCCTCGACGCCTGAGTTTATGTTAAAGAGCGATGTCGCATTTGAAGATAAACTGGCAGTGTCGAGGCGGTTTTTTATGACTTGCTGCCTCTGGGCGATGCAATTGTGCTCGTGGCTTTCTCGCACTGGCACTTGGGCCGGAGAATGTGGCGATAAGTCTGGTGAGCCGAAGGCAGAGTGTATGGAATGGATTGGAGTTTATCTCATGACGATATTGGCTCGGCTCTGAGGCCAGCAATCGTCGTGTTGTTGCTTCTCAGCGGACCGCCGAGTTGTTCAGTTGTTGAAGCATTTCCAAAGTGTGCGGATGGGCTTTTGCCAGCACTCCTTTATTTCCCTCTAGTTGGCGCATCACAAGGAAAGAATTGCCCGTGATCAGTGCTGTGCGCGTGTGATCCAATTTTCCTGAGTTGAAATCAATTAATCTCGAGTTACAAAATCAACAGTGAGGCAGGAAGGCCACGATGAGCGTCTCTTGGGGATACACGGCAACAAATGGTAAGGCCACCCCTTTGGCTTCTGGGTTGCCGTGTGTGTATTTCATACGCGAGGAGGCACTTTTGACCTCAGCATGGCCTGAATTTTAAACCGCGCCTAATGATGTTATTCGTGAATTTAAGTGACAGGAACGCGGTGCAAAAAGCCCGCCGTTCACGGCTGTTGTGTATCGAATTTTGCCAGCAATTCTGGGTCTGTTTTTTCGGAGAGACCCAGTAATCCCTTCCCTTCCCAGCAGTCACGTGCAGAGCCGCACAATTGGCTTCGGCAGATGCATTTTATTTACTCCTCACTCGATCGTTGAACTTTCTCTTTCTCCGCGTGCAATTAACGACCCGCCAGCCATTGCCACAATTTTTGCAGGCACACTTTTGCCATTCTCTGCTGATGTGCTCGATAAGACGCCGCACTTAATCAGTCCATGAGTGATCCGAGAGTGCATTTTGTGAGTTAGAAAAATGTCCGTCAATCGTTATCACGGCTGAAAGGCATTCTAATCGTGCTTTGACTGGATGGAGGAAAAAGAGGCGGTAAAGTGTGCACAAAATCAATGTCAAGTCGTTTTTCTCAAGCGAAATTCATATCGACATTATTGGTAGATTTCTATGCCATGATCTGCTCTTGTTGAAAAACACAGTCAAGGTTTTGCATCAGCGCGAACATTTGCAATGTTCTGGTGCGTTTTTCCACAGGCACGTGCAGAAGTGTCAGAACACTGCGCGAAAGACGTTGTCAGACTATAAATTATTCACATTACAATATATTTTCACGCTCAGTGACATGAGTTAACACGATGTTACATAAGAAGTCACAGTGTTATAGTAGTATTTGTCGCTTTTGTACTAATTGTGATATCTTTCTATTGGTTTAAATGAAAGTTCTGACATGAATTTAACTCATTTGACGCATGAAATGCTTGAAACTATAAAATTTTGCTACTTTGTCAGGCTGAGTTAATATGAAGAAAACCTGATTAGAAATCTCGTAAATCTCAGAAGAATAATTCCCAAAGGTGCGCCAACAGGAGATTTATGAGGTTCAGTCTTCACGTAATAAATCTCCTCGATGTACAATTTCTTGTTCCAACTCATATGATCAAACTTTACGTAAGATCTGCATAAAATCGCAATCTTATCAGGCTTTTATTGTCACTTTTGCTGTGTCTTCCTAACTGCAGAATTTTACTGCAAATTATCTCACGTCCAGCATTTCTTATCTCAACACTTGTGCGCATCACTGTACAGAATACGTTTTCCACTTGTGGCCTCCAGTCAAGTGGGGAGAGAAAATGTGAAATTTTCACTCTTATGACGGGGGAAATCTCATTATTATCACCCACAATTTGGTCATACGATATTTTTATCTGCCCCGACAGTCGCGGTAATTCAATTTGGGTCATTTCCTCACCAAATTAGCGATGATAACTCACCGTGATTGAATCACAGGTGATCAATGCCAATTATTTTGGCCAGTTTTCGGATGTTTTTGGCACTCTGGGGGCGCTAATTTGCTCTAATTTGCCCGGCAAATTCAATTCACATTGAGTTTCGCACCTGCGAAGAAAGCCATTCTCTAACTGGAAGTCGTTTTGTGATGAGTGACAAATGTAGTGTAAATATTTCTCATTAAATATTTCCACAGATATTTCCACAATGTACAGTCGATGGCGAAGTCACGAGACACGAGAGAAATATGTGGGGCTGTTGTCTCGTGCTTTGCGAATGGCACTGTATGTGCAGTGGATACAAGAGTGCTTCTTCGGGGTTTTTACGCACGAGACATCGGCGAAAACCTGTTTCCACTCTCTGCAAAAAGATGAAATATTAACCATTCGACTCGGAGGTTAATTCGACGCTTTGTCGATTATATGGCACACGCAAAAAAAAGTCAATCATATGACTTGTCACGTGAGAATTTATCTGCCCCTAAATTGTCAAGATATTGTCTTCTTCGACGACAATCAGTCGGTGCGATGAGAGATCAGAATTTATTTGTTTATTCACTGCCTGATCAATATGCAAGCGCCTTTGGGAAAACTACTGTGTAGCAAATTGAGAGATGGGAAGTCTGGACGTCACGAAATCACGATGGAGAAAGATTTCATGCTGTAAAGGAAACAAAAAATTGCTGGCTTGTGGGAAAACCAATTATTTTGTTTATGAAATGCGTTTCATAGTAAAATGTCACTCTTGTGGAGGGGATTTTCACTGGGACTTAAGCAGAAGTGCTGTAAAACTTTATGCCGATGACATTCATTTTGCTAATTCAGATGCGACTAGGGTGTCTCACTTTTCTTCACACGAGCCGCGCGTCTGTCCATAAACACGGCTGTTTATTTTGAAAGCACCTGACTAAGCTTGAAAATTAAAGTTTATGTTTATAAAATAGTCAAATTGGGCAATGAAAAAAAAAATTATTTACTTAAGAATTTGTCCGCGTGTCATGAAGTTTGAAATCTTCCTTAAAACAACGGACTTCTCATGCTGATAATTGGAACAATTAAACTTTTAATTGCAACTTCAAGCCAGACTTCAGACGCTAGAATTACGCCTGTCTATTTCATTTACTTACGCGTCAAATGAAAAACATATGATTCAGTGAATAAAATGTTGTTAAAGTCTGTTCTTTGTGCAAAACATTCATCTCCGGTGCTTGAAAAATAAAAATTAGCTTTCTCTGGACTTTATCTTCCATGATAAAATCGCCAAAATACTTGTGCTAAAGACTAATCTACGATTACTTTTATCATTTGTATAAACTCTTATTATAACTGACGTAGATTGATATAAAAGACCTTGTTAAGTGTGTATTAAACGGAATATTTACTTAAGAATTTATCATACACTTAGAACACTGCGCAATAATAATTTTACTAATCAATACTTATTCTTTCCAAAATGGGACGCCCTCGCGTCACTTGTGATTTTCCACGGTAAATGGGATATTAATAGGAGAGCCTTTTCGGGAAAACTCCACCCAAGTCAAAGGAATATTAATCACTCAATTGGCGACAAAGTATCATGTCTGCCAACTAGCTGTGATAAATCAATCAGGGAAGCATCAAATAAATTTCTTTGGCATTCTTTGACGTCTTTGGCATTCCGCTGAGACATCATCAAAGGTGAATAAATAATACACTTGAGAGACTGTGGCAGTGAATTTGGTTAGCGACTCCAGTGCGTAATTGGGCGCACTTGCTCTTTTATTGTGTAATTTAGGATAGTTATAAATTACATAAAGCACTGACGTGAATACGAATGAGTCTCTAACATTGCAGAAACTACACTTTGAATTTCCCTCCAAACTGCAAAAGTTCTCTCCACAGCAAGGTCAATTGTTGGGAATTGATGGAGAAAATTGGATTCACATTATGGAGAAAAAGGTTGAATTACTGTGCATCATCGCGGCATGAAAAAAAAGATGTTTTTCAGGTGGGAAGAAAGAGTATGAGAATATTGCGTCACATGCTAATCAAACCATGAGTTTCGTCTATTTAGCTTTCTTATTTTAAAAGGCTGTTTGTTCAACATCTCTGCGTCGCGTCTTCATCAAATCTGCCTGGTAGTCGAAGAGAAGATGAGTGAGCAACAAGGGAGGGAAATATGCTGCGGCTGTAGTGTGCAGATAAATTCACACTTCCTTATCGTTCGCCGTTGGCGATAAGCTATTGAGCTCTCGAGACAATTCATGCTCTGCCTTTTTTTTTGTGCTTGTGACTGAGAAACACGTGATAAGACATCATTCGAGCGCCAATGGATGGATTTTCTCCCTAAATCGATCATACTTGAGCGCTTCTAAAAATTATTATTTACTATCATTACGCGCGATAAATCAATCCATTCAGTCTCGCGCGGGGGCATCTGATAACCACCTTATCATTGGCCATCAAATACGGGAAATTTATCACTCACTCGACTTGAGTCATTACGCAATTGATCACAAATGCGATTCTGATTAATTGAGCTCGTGAAATTGTTTAGTTAAGTGCAAAATGGTTTACTGCACTTTGTGTATCGCGCGCTCGACTATCACAATGCTGGCAATTATCAGCGATTCATCACGTTCTGATTGTGAATCGCAATTGATCACAGACTCAGATTGATGGAAGAGGAGTTAAGGCGATGAATATGATGTATGTTGGTGGACTTTTTTTCATGAGAAATGCTCTAATTTCGGTGTCTATTTTCGTCAGACGGGTTTGAGACTTTTTATTGTGAATGAGGAATTACGTTCAGAGGCGTATTTGTCTCAATTTGCATGACTGTGACACTCTGGGAAAAAACCAGAATCTGTGGGACTTTTTCCCAGATTGACAAATAGAACGAGTAGAACTTTAAAGCTTCACAACTCTTTTCTTGTTGAAGTGTTTCACGACGCCACTGACCAAGTATGCTTTTAAATTGATCAAATACTCTTTGTGTTTCTTTTTGTGACGCCCTAGCGAACATCTGCCTATAGAAAAAAAATAACTTTTTGTCATCGCGCGTCTAATGAAAATAGTTATTAGATTTGCTAAGTTTATTCAAATTGATTGCCTACAAATTGACAATTGATATGAGGCAGTTTCGGTGGCTGAGACCAAAGTTTGCGCAGAGTTTAATTGAGTGTTTATTTTACGCAGAACCACGCGGATCTCTTTAAGAAGCCACTCAAGTAGTGCAATATTAATTTGCTCTCCGAAATTATTCACAATTGATGCACAGAGAGTGTTGCGAGGAAATGCTAAATAGGAGAGACAATTGTCCGCATTAAGCCACCAATGAAAATGTTACCAGACAAATTGAAGTTAATTTATGGGTGTTCCGGAAATTTATGGCTGTTTTTTTGTCTCATGTGCGCTCTTGCAGGCCCGCAGAAGTGGCCAGAGTGGTTCCCTTCGGCCTCCGGTCACCGGCAGTCGCCCATCAACATCACCACGGCGGCCAGCAAGCAGGATGGCGACCTCAAGTCCACGCCGCTGCGGTGGAAGTATCTGCCTGAGAACACGCGCAGTCTCGTGAATCCGGGATACTGCTGGCGCGTGGACGTGAACGGGAAGGGCTCAGAGCTGACCGGAGGTCCACTGGGCGCGGACAAGTATCTCCTGGAGCAGTTCCACTGCCACTGGGGCTGCTCCGACAACAAGGGCTCGGAGCACACCGTGGACGGACTCTCATACTCCGGCGAGCTTCATCTGGTGCACTGGAACGCCACCAAATACTCCTCCTTCGACGAGGCCGCCCGACAACCAGACGGCTTGGCCGTTCTGGGAGTGTTCCTCAAAGTGAGTATGAATGACCTTTCCGAAATTCAAGTTTATCACCGTTTTTTCACCTAGAGTGAACTTGAGAGAAAATGATAACGCCGTCCTTCGAGTCATTTATGTAATTTCGCGAAAAGCAAGCAGAATGGAGAGGAAAAAACTATTTCTCTATCGACGGCAGAGCAAATTGATTAGAACTCGCGAGGTTTTTCCTCAAGATAGTGAGCTTTTTTTTCAAGATTGCGCGGTCAGTGGAAAATGTGGTGAATTCTAGGCAATTTAGAATAATGATTCACACTCAATGACTCGTGTAATTGAACAGTTCCACAGTTTTTCCATTCTCTTTTTCCAAAGATTATTTATCTTAAAATTTTTATGGTCGTTCATTGTTGACGCGGAAGAAAGGCTTTTATGTTTTAGAGTATATTCTAGTCACTATGAAGGTAAATAACTGTTGGGTTTTCCTAAGAAACGGAAGAAACATTAGCGCAAGACTGGCTTATCAGGATTATGATATTTCTTGTTTCTCGTTTTCCCGATATTCCACATTCCACAATTCAAAAAACTATGAATAATTAGTTTATAAACTGAAAACTGATTTTACAAATAAAATTCTACAATACGAATGTGTAGTAATACAAAGAAAAAGTGGTACTAAGTTGTTGATAAGTAAACAATGAGAATGGCTGAGAAATATGTCTAATTGAGACTACGATTCTCCCAAGAAAGTTGTCTGACTATCTTATCTTTGGCAATCTGAGGCTTTATTATGCAGCACATGAATATTGATCTGATCATTGGTGAGAATTTTAGCAAGAAACTTACTATTCTTTCGTTTCTGTAATCAGTAATTCACAATGAAACTCACATCGATAAACTTTGATGATTCAAACTCTCTTAGAATAACCACAGAATCAAGGAGTTTGAATTCTAAGTTCGCAGATAAATCATTTCCAAAATATTCCGCACTCCTCTAAATGTTCTTGGTTGTCTTTCAACGAGTTCAACGCGAAGGAATTCCATCTTATCTCTGCCCTTGTTGAATAACTTCCTCAAAAATGCATTCATCATCACCATTCACTGTTCTTTCTCTTTTTGTCTCTTCCGAGAAGACCTCCACACTTTAATTCCCAGGATTTAATAAAGTCTGATTTGTGTTCTCTTCTTTTGTAGCGTGGAAAGCATCACCCGAACCTGGACAAAATCGTGCAGTTGATGCCCTTCATCACGCACAAAGGCGACAGGGTGAGGAGATCTTCATTGTGGTGGGATTTATTCAAGTGTCACTAATTGTGTGTGTGTGTGGTTTCAGGTGACATTGCCCACGCCTTTGGACCCGGGATCTCTGCTGCCGAGCTGCAATAGCGGGTACTGGACGTACTTGGGCTCCCTGACGACACCGCCGTGCTCAGAGTCGGTCATCTGGATTATCTTCAAGGAGCCGATCGAGGTTTCCGAGGATCAGTTGAACGCCTTCCGCAAACTACGCTGCCACGACGTGTGCGAGGACACTCCGCGCGGCGACACGGAGTCCTCCTTCTCCGATGGCCTGGTGAGGAACAACTACCGTCCGCCGCTGCCCGTGGGGCATCGCGACGTCCGCGAGGTGGGCGGCCACTGATGAGATGCTCAACGCCATGATAGAAGTGCTTTCTCGAAGCCTTTAGAAGTGCCTAAAAATAGAGATAGATTAGGATTACAATCAATTGGTCAGATGCTGTTGCATTTGGCAGTTACTACAATGTATTTTTCGCTATTTTAGCCAACCGACGTATACTGATATATTTGGTGTAGGTGAATATTGTCAATTTGGGGTGAAAAAACTAACCACCTTGAGAAATAATCTAACATACATATAAAGAGAAATATTTGAGTAGAGAATAAAGCTGTGATCTAACAAAATCATCCTGAACCGTCTTTTTTTGAATCGCCACGCAATGAAGTTGGCTGGAAGCCACTGGAAGTATTGCTATCTCGCTCGCTCTTTCCCACTCTCGTCGAGGTTATGTTGACACTGGAAAATGATGTTTCGTTCTTTTTTTCTGGTGGATTTCCGAGTGTTGTGCCGATAAAAGTGCATTTTTCACACGGAAAATTGTATCTAGAGAATACAAATTTATCGCATTTGTGGACTTTTCCCGCCCATGGTGGCGTTCGTGGTGGAATTTTGGTGGCAAAAGGTAATTAAGTGGGTGAAAAGTGAGCGTATTTTTTCAGGTTGTCACCGTGAAGCTGCCCTCCATGGCGATTATCGATTGTTTCTTGTTGTGAATCTCATGTTTTCCCCCATGTCGCCCCAAATTACCCCAATTTCCACACTCTTTCACGCCATCCTGTGAGATAATGGCAGTGAGAAGGGCTTCTGCGAACTTTTGTGGTGATTTCTTGTGGAATTTGAGTGAAAACTGAGAGTGAAAATTTCATGATATATATCTACATATATATGATTGTATTTTGCTTTTTCGGTGCCTTTTTTCTCCCGGAAAGCAATTGATTTCCTCAATTAAATTCATTCGTGGTAATTTTCCAGCATTAATGAGTGCTTTTTCTGTCCTTTGCAGAACATTTCAACCTCGACAATGAAGTAGATAATCAGGTAATAATCAAGATTTCGGTGTTTTAATTGGAATATTTTAGTAATTTGTGCCTTTTCCTTTGATATTTCAGTTCTGTAATTCTTGTCAGCGGATGGTGTGATCCCTGAGGAAGACAATCCAACTGATTTTTACGTAAGTTTCTTTCTATTTTGCTTTCAAAGTGACTCATTTGCTATGTTGGAGACTTTTGTTCGGGGCGAAAGTGTCTCGACTTCTGTGTCTAGGGTTTAAAGTCGGATGGGAAGTGTTTCTGTTCCTATTAGAAAGTGGCAGGATAAAATTCCAATAGCGAGTTTCCATCTCTGCGACGAGTCCCTATCTTTATCCTAGTGATGTCCTGATAAAGTGCTCTCGCTGACTTGCCTCTGCTAATGAGCTCTTGCTAATATTCTATCCGCATTTTCATCCCACATTCGAAAATAGCAGAAGGAGCAGAATATTCACTGAACTACAAGAATAACTTTGTGGTGAATTCACCGCATATCCTTTCGACGAGCTGTTTGGGATGGATTGTGTGGGAAAAAAACTGAGCAATGAGTTGACGAGTAAACAGTCATAAGAGGAGAGACAATAACTGGTCCCGAAAATTATTGACAGAGGCAGGAAGAAAAATCCTGCGGGGATGGGCGACTAAGAGCCATCCCCTGGTGGCGTGCTGGGAAAAGTGTCACAGGGAAATTTGTGCTCAGGGGCTCTCTAGAGATTTATCTAGTTTGGGTGACTATTTGGCAGGATGTCGTTAGAGATGTAGAGTTAAATGGAATTTGTTAGAATGCGGTAGGACTCCAACTTGAACAATGATGAGCTCCTATTTTTGGGGTGGTTGCCTCAATTGGGCGATATACATCCTCGTCACCCCGTTTGTCCCTTCCTCAGTAGCATAGATTGTAGTAAAATTTACCCTTTCCCGACCCGCAACAGCTCCGCGTTGTGGTCAAGTGGATTTTGAAGGAAAAATCTTGCAAACACTTCCTATTGTGGGGGTTTAAAAGGCATTTGCATTTTACGTTCAGCCTCAGATCTTTTCGCTTCGCGGTTATTTAATTCTGATTTGAATTAGACATTTAATTAATACCAATTAATTATATCTTTACTAAACAATAACCTGGAAAGTGCTAAATTTGCAGTTAATTCGAATATGGCGATAATACATTGGTGTATATTAGATCAATTTGTGGTCCATTTTCGCCGAAAGTTGTGTCGACATGCCGTGGCAATTTTGCTTCGTGGGTCATTCATGCTCATGGGATCATGAATGCCCAGAGCAAAGGGCGTGCGGGAGCCCCACAATCTCATCATTTTTCCCACTGACTGGCTGTGTTGTTATTTTTCATTCAGGAGGATGGATATTAAAAGAAAATAGTCAGCTCAAATTGAGCGCTAATGAAGGCCTCACAATACATTTTCCGCACATTTTTCCATCTCCCCCCTGGCCATGCTCACTCCCTCAATTCGTTGGTGAGTTCCTGGGAAGCGGCAGCGCGCCTGCATTTTGATATTAAATGGCGGTATCACCCTTTAAATTTAATCACAATATTGTGTCACTGTTGGGGAGAATGTGGGATTTTTCATCAGGATTCACGACAGAGAACGAGAAAACAAGGGCGGGACGTGAGAGAAAAAAGAGTGTCGTGGGAATTCAATGTGAGAGCTTTTGAGTTTGAAATTCTCAGTTCTTGCCGTTACACTTTCCTTCCCATCTTCTTGGCGATTTATCAAACGAATGCCTTCACATGGAGCAGTGCTGGAACACATGAGAAAATGCGTCTGATTTGATAGATTTTCAAGTGTAATATCTAGAGAAAATCCAATGTGATTTTTTCCCTTGGCTTGCAAGAGAGAGAGGAAACTTCCTCTTCGTGACGAATTTGTGTGTCTCCTGATGAATATACTCTTTGCACGTCTTCAGGAAATTCTCCACCTTCTGTTCAACTCGATATTTGATGATTTTCAAGAAGTTGTAAATGTAGTTTTCTTGGCACAGTTTCGCAACCATATTTCTAGTTTTTTACACAGACCTTTGACTTCCCAGAATACTTTTGGTGTGTCGTCACTTTAAAATAACCGTCAGAAATGGAGAATTTCATTAAATTTCTGTACTAGAGCAGATGCCTTGGAGCAGCACTTGAAGGTCTTTTGATATGATATCACATTTCATTCGTTTGAAATCTCATGCGTTTCTTCGCTGTTTGTATCTAATTTTAGACAACATTTTAAGAGACTTCAGGGAAATTAATTTACTGTCTGAATTTGAATATTAAATATCTTATTCTACAACGTAAATATGTATGTTAATTTAGATCTTTTCAGGGTGGAATAAATAGTATTAGAAAAACATAAAGTGTTTGGCTTTATAGTAAATAATCAAATGCATGGAATCCAATTGTCTTTAATAGAAAGAAAAATTGTATACGATGATTGAGTTGCACAGGAAAAAATTACGTTATCAAAGTTTTGGGAACTTTCTTTTGCTTCGCTTGCGAAACTAACTAGAAAATCTGTTTATATCTGGGGAAAAAAAAAACAGTCTGAGGATTTCAGGATTATTCAAGAGCAGAAATGCATTTTCTATTTGTCCCTCATTAGATATTTTTCCAGTTCTCTGTACATTAAGCATTTCTCGCAGAATCTGTCACAAATTTTTCATATACTCAATTATAATAATAATTTCTAATAATAGAGAAACACGAAGTTTAAGAGACATTTCAGTGCAGATTACAATTGCGCAACAGGCACTTTGGAAAACAAATCTCAAAGCCCGTAACTTAGTACGAAACTTAGAGGAATGCAATGTGCTTAAGAAAGATTTGATTGAAGTGAGAAGAATTTTGAAATCGAGCAGTTGTAATGGAATAGGCATTAGCAAAACGACACGGAGATGAAATAGCAGCATAAAGCAGTACAGAGAATGGACAGAGTGGAGATTTTATACTCCTCATAAACATGGGGATCAAAGATAAAAATAGAAGGTTTAACAGTGGGGATAACACAAGTGGGCGGAGCATTTGAGTAGGCGTGTATTTGTGAATTTTACCTTCTTTCTCTCAGAGTATTTTTATTTTTATTTGTTCTATATCGCTGGATGATAGAATCGATTGAATTCTTAGCTTGCTAAAGCTGCCTATGGACATGAAAAATTTGTTCCTTTATTAGTTTTTTTTTTTTTAGAGAGATAAGGAATTGTTTGAACAATTTTGCAATTACAACAAGGTTTTGGCACTTGGCAGTCATTATTATTAATGGATATTTCGGGTATTTGCCGAATGAATGGAAAATACTGTGGGAGTATTTGGTAATATTTGGGTGATTTTCTATAAAGTACCTCTGTGAATCCTTTTGTGAAATTGTAGGATTTTCGCCTGCGAGGGGCTCAGTGTCTCGAGTGGGTTTCCCATTGATTCTGCTGAAAGAAAGAGAAGCCTATTTTCAGTATTAGACCTGCACGTTGGATGGTGAGAAAGTGGTGGAATATTGGGGTGTGAATTTGCATTTTGACTTGGTGTGGAAAATGCGTGTCTAGCGGAAAATGATGTAAATTTTCGATAGGGGGAGTGAAGATGAGGGTTCAATGCAGTCACCTTTTCTCACATACAAGAATGGCCTCTCCCTCTATGGTTATGATAGTGCACCGAGGGGGTGTGGTAAATGGTTTAATATGCTGTTGCCTATCGAAAGGTCATCAGAATATCATTCAAATTACCAGTGTAGAGGTACTCGGGATGGCGGAGAGACAATCTGGTGTGTGTAGGTGGGCGAGGGATGCTTGCTGGCTTTGGTGAATGGGTCAATGCAGGTCAGTAGCAATTTCTGTGATACGCCATGAGACGTACATATATGGCATACCGTGGCCTGACAATATTGATGGAATCGCACAGACACACGGACGGGGGCAGGCATGGGCAAATTTGCATATCCATATGTCAAAGGAGGGCCCACAAAAGGTGGCACATGTATTTCATGAGTCCGCCCGATATATAGGATGTGTATACATACACTTTGGTGCATGCTGGAGAGTGGAGTGGGGTGTTTTGGCGTTTGGTAAACAGTGAAAGCGTCGAAATGTTTGTGTATTTCTATTCATTATGAGGAGGACATGCCACCCTCCGCTTGATATGACATTCTCTCGCTCTCTTGTGATAATAATGCAGTGCAGGCGTGGATACATGCATATTACATAATGTGCCCAGTAGAGGGAATAGATAGATAGAAATGATATTAGTATTTCTAGTGTATATTTCCCAGAGTGGAAATGATTAGAATATCGGCTGTGTGCGTTGTATGTGCAGCGAGGGTGGCGGCGAAGCCGATCCCTCTAACTATTAATGCATTTGGTGAAAGATGCAACTGATATACGCAATTGCATCAATAATTGCACGAGAAGATTACATAAAGTCAATCAATTAATTAGTTATGATAATTGATTCGGGCTAATGTAAATTGCATGCCACCCTATATCCAGTAATTAACATGACGAGAGATCCTATCTGTTGATCATTTATCCAAACACTGCAATTATTCTTTCAACAAAACGCCCAAATTTCATAGTTGAAATTTGCATTTTCACATTGCTAAATGGTACAAATATTCCCTTTTAAAGGACTATTAAGTAGGAAAAAAACTCCTCGCAATGGTGTTGACAAATTGTCTCGCGCGTATTTTCTTTTTTTTGCTCGCCTGCCGCCTTCTTTCCAACATACACGCAAAATATAATATTTTATAACCGGTCACAAACATTTTAAGGGCAGAGTTAAGTGGAAATAAAAGGAAATCGTAAAAGTTTTACATCCTTCCCACGATGTCCTGATGGTGAGAGGCGAGAATATTTTTTCTTCTCATCTCTCATGATGAATATCTTGTGGGCAGGATGAAGTGAGCAGATATGGTGAGTCAAAGGGAATCAGATGATTTAATGGTATCCGCACTTTGAATATAGTGTGTGACAGTTTATAGGGGTGAAATGAATTAAGGGGTATATTCACACATTCTATCTATTGTAAGATACTTGGTAGTTATAATTTTATTTTGGTTCCTGAGAGCTATTAAAAGCAAAGTTGTGTTATCACTGGTATAGTTATGTGTTGCACAATTCATTCATGAAATATTCCTCCGGTCTCCAAGAGAAGGTGTGGGAAAGTTTCCGAGGGTGGCAGTGTGGGAAAAAGGGATACAAGTTCCAATAGTGTAGAGACTATAGTTCAAAGTGTGTGGATGGATTTAAATTTTCATCGAATTAAGTTGAACTGGAGAGAGTTGGTCATATTAGTTGGAAATTGAGAGGGAAATTATGAATATCTCATGAGTGATGCACAATTGGACAATTGTACTTTTTTAATTTTCTACTTAACTGAAAGAATTAAATTAACTTTTCAATCTTCCATGTGTTGAGTATGTTTAGTTTTATACGGTAAGTTACACAAATACCGGAAAATGCTAATAATTTATGAATCTCTGGTGGAAGCCAGGACAAGGATGTTTCTGATGTGTCTCAGGTGACAAATTACCCTACCCGTTCACGTTTGTGTGCAAACCCCTGAGCGCAGGGATAGGGCATTGAGGGGGGTGGTTCGGGGTTATATTAGTGTGTGTATATGTTGGCTTGGGGTGTGGGGAAAAAGCGCAGTCGCTATGCTAAAATGCAAATAAACTGTGACAGATTTGTAAAAAATATTAATGCTGCTGGAGCGCTTCCTTGGTAGGAATTTTTTTTTGGTAAACTACCAACGCTTCACATAGTATATCTTTTTTACCCATGCTCATGTCTACCAACTCTCAACTAAATATGATAAACGTGATAATTAGAGAAGATAACTTATGTATATATGATGTGCTGAAGACTGTGGTGAAAATTGTGGCAACAAATACAGCAATATATATTCTCTTGTTTATTAAACAAACAAGAGCCTTGTTAGCTGTTCCATTGCTCAATTTAAATATTGTTCTAATGATTATTGTCACCTCTGTCACTATTGCTCAGAGTATTAAAGCTCTTCTCTTTGAGTTGAAATCTTCAAGAGACCAGAAATATGGAAACTGATTTCCAAATGTTTCCATAATTTTCAGTGTTGTCTTTATTTCGTCTGCGTCGATATTTATTTCCCTCTTGTCCACAGTGCTCCTCCATGCGAAGCTGATAGACTAAAAAATATTTCCATAAATCCTATCTTTGAAATTAAGCTTAGAGAAGGGTTGGGGATTTAAATGGAGGATATGGAAATATGTCGTGTAGGGAAAAAGCGGCAATATATGTATTGATACTGGGTGATGCATTTCAAAATAGATATATATATATATAAAAAATCACCTACAGGAAGGATGAGGTTGTTGTGTAAAATAAAACAAATGACGTCGAATCGATTTAATATTTCTATGTTGATACTGGCCTTTGTTTACCCTTTTTTCACAATGTGAGTTTTGCTATATGGGATTGAACTATAATGGATTACCTCTATCGTCAGCATTCACTGCCATATAACACTAGTCGCTGCAGTTGCATCCGTACATATTGGCAATTTAAATTTTTAACATATCCACGCATACAATATACATATTTCACGAGAAACGCTGCAAGTTTTTCGTTTTTCCTCCACAAATTGTTTTTTTTTTTTGAGAGTGCTAGAGGAACAGACTGAGTAAAAAAAAGGGATAAATTTATCTATTCCATGCGAAGTGAGATACAAATTTGTTATTTCATCTCTTGCACTGCATGACTCCATTTCACTATATCTTTTCTGTCCAAATATTTTTCTTCAATTTACTGGGGGATTGCACAATGAGACAATAAATGAGTAATTTTGCGGTCGAGATTGTGGTTTGGCGGGAGCAACAGTGCGGTGAGCAGTGAGGAGATTCTTAAAACTTTCAGATGATTATACATTTTGGGTTAATCCTTTCATTGTCGCGCGGGGTGGAGGGGTGGAAAAATAAATGAAATAATCGGTGGGGATTTGTGAAGCTTGTGCAAACATCTGTGCCTTTCTCACCATTTGTGGGGCGCCATATAGAGGGGATATTCCTGTATTAATCGTCTCATCCATGAACAATCTTAATCTGCCACAGTGTCTTCAGATGTATAGCCAAAAATGATTTGATAGTCTCCAGAGCGAAATCCTGAGTGAAGTATATGTTTTTCTGTGCACTGGTGACCCGGAAGAACGGGTATCCGTGTTGTATCAATCAATCCTCAATCTTTTGGGTGACAGATCAGTAATTGCTGGCTCACATAATACAGACTGACGTACTGGCAGTTTGATTGTCACATTGGTAGATTGGGTGAGTTTCTTTGGTTGTTGGTTTGCTGGGTTGCACAACCCGTAATGGCAATCAGGTATGGCTGAATGTAGTATTTCAAGCTACTTTTCCACAATTTAATTCAATTACACTTTAAAAGGCAACGCTTTCTCCACCCTTTTTCGGAAAAAAAAACTCTCTGGAATAGGTCTTGAAGCAATACAAATTGTCCTAGATTTACTTTTTTCACACCCACGATAAATCCACCCTCGCCCCTTTATTTTCCCACTATATATACAGTTGATTGTTGAGCAATCAAATGAAGACAAACTGGAGGAGATAAACTCTATCCCACCGCGTTCCTGTGGGATTCTATAAATTGCCGAAAGATGAAGCTAAAAACATAGGGAAATCCCGTGATGTCCTGGGTAAAGTGAATTCATATATAAAAAAACGAGGATATCCGCCTTTTGCGGGTTAAATCCTCAAAAATCCATTAATTATTTCAAAAAGCTGTTAAAATATTATGAACGGTAATTTAGTGGGGATTTTTCACATTTAAATACGCCAGGGCAGAATATAATTGTGTGGAATGGCGACTCATACTGGGTGTAAAATGAATGAAATAGGCACATCTGTTTATTAGGGAATCGTAATGGGTATATTTTGCTTGTACAGACATTCCCAAGTGGGAAAACCCAGTCCTGAGCTTTTCTGGACGCCACATAAGCGCGAATAAACAAAATATGAAATGTAGAATGATTATTAATTGTTATTAAAATTATGGCCGGGCGGTAGAGAGTGAAAATATGCCGTGAGGGGTGAGATAATAAATTGCTCTGTATTTCTAACTCCCACACGTGATAAAATAGTAGTTTTTGACTGTGGATATGTGGTGAATTTTCCCACAATGTGCGAGAGGTGAAAGAACTCCCCTCAGAGCCTAATTGGTATTAATAGGCAAAAATAACCCCAAGTTGTGATACTGTGTGCTATGTTAATTGAATTTGCGATTAATTAAGATATGTCTAGTATTTGTTAGTACAACTACAGCGCGGCGGCAGGGGATTGTTTAGAGTGAAAGTACCTCCGCGCATTATGTAATAATCAAAGAGAGATATTTGCTATATATGGTTTATTTACCGCCAATTTCCATTAAGTGCTTTTAGCATTCTA